TGAATAGGTAAACATGAAAACCAGTTGATGCAATTGTTGATGAATAGAAAAATACAAAAAAATTAATTGCAGGATCGTAAATTTTTACTTTGGCTTGGAGTTCCACCTCATCGAGCCAACGAATCCAAACCTCATGAGTTCTGCAGAATTTTGTCAGAATTTGCCTTAGAATATAGAACAACTAGGGAACGGGTATTGCAACAAATAGAAAAGAAAGCAAATCATAGGGAACGCAACAAAACAAAAGAGGAAAAATGATCACTCAAGTAATTATCATACCTTTATTTACCAAAATACCAAAAATATCAATGCACTAAAAAATGATCAATCTTTCACCAGGTACCTGGTAAATTCCATTCCAAGGAAGATCGTGCTGATGCAGAACTTAGACAATTATTAGGAACAGAATCTGATATAGACTGCAAACGGTACTGTAACTACTGGTGGTACTTTGACGTGGAGACGTAGAAGGCAGGATGCCGTTAAAATTCAGAGGTAAATAAGAATAAAGGAATATATTCCAATGAAACCTCCAGTTCCAAAAATTATATTTTTTAATTTTTTGCCAGAGATGAAAGTTTCACCGATGTGACGATGAAATCCTCGAGTCCTTGGTCAAGACAGCAACTCAAGGACCAGCAAGAGGTCACCAACATAGTTCAGGAGGTCCAAGAGAGAGAAAAAGGACTAGGCATGCCGATAGAAAATCATGTAAGTAAAATAAATTTACCTAAATATTATAATTCAAACTGGATGATGTCACTACATTATACATGAATTTTATAATTTATTGTTATCATCAGTTGCAATATTTATATCAATTGTATTGTTGAATAGTGAAAAGATCCCGTACCAGAGAAGGATTTCCGATTGGAACAGAAATTGAACCATAAATTTAATGATTTTCGACAAGACTATCACTTAAGCTTCAGGTTGAAAAATGTTTTATTAAGCTTGATTTTTGCGTCGTTTGTGATAATGCAGCATGTTAATAATATTAACCCTTTCCACTCGGATGCCTTTCATATTAATCTCGAAATTAGCGAGAGGAAAGGGTTAAATTAATAATTATGAATTTGTTTAAAAGCATGGAAGTATTAACGTGTTAACCTTGTGCAAATCTTCGAATTAAGAACATCTGATGTTTCTCTTAATAAAAATTTAAAATGTGTGTGTATATAACTGTCTTTCATATACAAGATTGGCCATGGAATAATAAAAATTTAGAAGAAAAATAATAAGAGTTAATTCAAAGGAATAGATGTCCTGCAAAGTTGCTGAAATCCTTGTTTTATCTTTTTGACTCCTGCTTGAACTCTGTATATCACCTCTTTTAAAAATCCGCTTTTTTCATAGAAATCTTTATGGAAAAAAAATACCATAGGCTAGATGTAGAAAACAAAGTCATCCTGAATCTTGTACTTTTGAGCAAAATTTCCACAAATTCTCAAATTAATTCATGGCTCCCTCTGTATGTGAATTCATTTAAGATTCTTACTGCTTCTTTGTATGTTAATTGTTTATAAATTCAACGTTTTCTTCATCAATTAATTTAATAAATTATTTTACAGTGCGCAGAACTCTGAAAAATGGACTATCGGAAGAAGAAAAGAAACACCTGGCTGCATACATCAAAGGATACTGATAATAAAAAGTGATACTACAAAAAAATCTAGTTAAAATTTTGACTACCAGAGACTGTAATGAATTAAATTAATTCTATAACTAACAATCAGTCTTTTAATCGATGGGAAATTATATTTTATTGGAGCCGAAAACAATCTGAGATTGCATAATTTTGCTATGCATCCTGAAGTCTTTTTATATAATATTTATTAAAATAAGATTTATTATTCTTTAATATATATTAAATATAAATACAACAAACACGTATACGCTGAGGTATGGTGCATTATTTATTTTGTAAGTAACTTTTGCCATAATTAGTTTTGCATTACCGTGATTTTAATTATCACTAAAGTTGCTGTTTCATATATAAACATTTTGGTCTTCTAAAATATACCTGCGATTTTGGCCTAAACAAATGTTTCGTATCAATTTATATGTGATTGCAACTTTATGTAGATTATATTTGTGATAGATACCGTTATTTGAGTTTTTGTATAAAAATATATTTATAGTAATGCGTTTTTGCTGCAATTTTAGTTTTAGGAATGAGTTTGATTTGCGACTCACAGATTTCTAAATAAATAAATAGAAAATCCGACTTAATTTCAAATTATTGCAATTAAATGAAATTTTTAGACATAATTAAAAATACATTGACTGTTGATATTATTTGAACTACAATACTCGCCAGTATGTTATATCTTAATACATTTATAACATGTATAGTATTATATATATTATTTGTCAATGATGCTTCATTTATGTATATTAAAATAATTATCAATAAAAAATTATTTACGTTAGAAGATTATTGAAATTTGCAGACCCTGTATAAAGAGTCTCAAATATTATCATTGAAATTTATTTACTAATAATTTCTGATACTAAATTACCTAATGATTATTATATGCAAGTAGACTGATTATTTGTTAAATTGATACTAACTCCTTTTAATTCAATAATTTATATTTTGCTTTTCTTGTATACTTAGGTTCTATAGAAGGTTCGAGCAGCCTGATAACAAGCAGCAACGACATCCTTTTTCACTTGGCCATATAAATAGCAAATGTTTCCAAGTAAAATTTTACTCGGCATCAATAAAAAATTATCATTATTGGTAATAATAAAAATTCATCACATAGATATGGTACAACCACATGGGTACCGTAAAAAAACGACATAAGTAGTCTGTAAAGTATTAAAAATAACTACGTATACAATCAGGTATTAAACTGTAATTTTGTTTGTGCATTTACCTTGTTAATGTTGTCGGTCAATTTTATAAAGTGATCTCGAATGTTATCTAAGATAATCAGTTTTTTACAGATTTGTTTTCTACAAAAAGCCACATTCTTGCTCAAGTCTTGTACGTGTTTTATATTATAGAAAAATACATTTCTTGTTTGGTAATTACCGCACTGGTAGGTACAATATTTGACGCCATACTTATGAAAGATTATTAAGAACAAATAAAAATATATTTAATTTACCTTGGCATCTGGTAAGTTCCTGGCTTTGAAGAAACTAAATCTTAATTGATAATCCAAAATATGGTGCCGCCGTGAATAGAAATAATCAGATCCTCGGAACCCCTGTTAAATCTTGAACACAGGAAACTATACGAAAACACTATTGCTCTTATAAAAAGGAAATTATAAATAAAACTCACTGAATCACTAAATAACGAAGCTAATAAAAAAATTACGCAACGTAAAGTTGATTACTGAAACTAACAGGTCGAAGCCGAAAGGTCGACTGACCTCAAATGAAAGCAAGGATCACATGGTTTTTTGGAAGGAAAGAGACGGGTATCCAGGATTAGAAAGAAATAGTTCTATTGACATATTGCAAAACCGAGATGGCGACAATATTAATATCGATACCTGTACATTTCTTTATTTTCGTATCTCAACAGCAATCAGAACCTTACGTCCTGTGAGCTATTGAGCTGAAACTTTTCCTTACTTAGTATTTTTAGGTGGTAACCCAATGGTTAATCCATCCATGTTTGATGATTTTTGTTATTAGAATTAATCTAATAGGGCTGACTTTTTATTGGTGCCTGGGTGGGGGCTATTTCTCCTTGAAAACATATTGCTTATCACCAATCGTTATCACTGCTGCCTGACAACAGGCTGCTCGAAGTAGATATCGAACCCGGGACCTCTGAATCAAGTCCCTTCGTTCTTAACCGCGCACCTACGGGCGAGCCCTGATACCTGTACATGTAAGAATATTCATTAAGGTGTCACCATAATGTTTCAGAGTTCTCGGCATCCAGAAGTCAGATCGCAGTTTTATACATAACAAGTTAGAAATTATATTGCAAACTTTGGTTGATATGCAGTCAGGCGTTTTAGGTAAAAAACCAAACCTAGGAAACACATAAATGTTAAAAAAAAAATTATATTTCAACTGCATATTTGTGATTTGGTATAATAATATATGAGTGAAGTTGCATTTTATGTGTAAAACGCCTGATCGCATAGCAAATATATGGCATTTTGACAGTTTTAATACCATTTTGTATGAGGAGCAATACGTAATATTAGTCTATTTTACGGCAGAATCGGCTCCTAAATTTGAATGCTTGTAGCGAGATTTTTCCAAATCTGCTTCAAAATCTATGCCAGTGTTGTCTACATAAATTTTCTTGACTGAATCTGAAAGTAAAAAGTTATTCACAGTGAATAGTTAATACATTTTGAATGACTGTAAGTAGTTTACTGATTACTCTAAATAGTTTTGTTAATAAAATATCCTTTAATCCAAAGTTATTCATACAGCCACACCAAGAATACTATGCACTAAAATTTTGTTTCGTAAATATTTTTTATTGATGTTTTAAATAATGTTTAGTTTTCTCCGTCCAATGTACCTTGGTAGACATCAGCTGAAAATTTGGTATAGCATATTTAAATACAAATATATATTTTTTATGTCAGAAGTAGAAGAAAACTCACTAATTCTGGGAAGATCACACATCACTAGTTTTCTTAAGAAACAATGGTATATCGTCGGATTTCCTCAATTGTCGAGCAAAAAGTAATGCATTTTTTAATTTTATTCACATAGTCATAAATTTGAATGCAAATACAAACTCCTAAATAATCATGTAGTTACAAGCAGCATTAAAAATAATGTAAAAAAATTACTTATTTGTAAAACTGCTATTAAAAATAGATTTAAAATATAATACTCACCGCATAGTAAATAAATAAATATATTTGGGTGGTCCTTAATATGGATGTTCTCGAAATTCTTGCTCTCAGGGTTTCAAATGCTTCCAAATTCATAAAAACAATGCTGTGACAGTTTTAGCTTTTAATATTATCTTTAAGATAGTCCGCACTCCAACCAAGGTTTTTTGGTTCTTTTTCCTAAGAAAATACTGATTTTATGAAATATATCAAATTTTTGTTGTATTTTGTTTATTTATTATCAAAATAAGCAGCAAATACCATGTTATTCTCGAAATTTTAATTCACTTGTCGCTAAGTTATAAAACAAATAGAATTTTACCTATGTTATTTCCATAGAAACTTTGGTTGGAGTGCGGACTATCTTAAAGTTAATTTTAACAGCTAAAACTTTCATAATTTTTTTTTTATCAATTTGGTAGCAATTGAGCACCTGGGAGCAAGGAAATTCGAAAACCATTCTAATCTATATATTATTTTTAAAAAATAATATAATATATAGATTAGAATCTGTAAGCCAATCAACAACCGCGTTGCAGTAAAAGATTTATAATTTTTTTACCTTTTTATATTACAATATAACAACCTATGGTTACAATTAGTATCCTAATGTATATTAATTTATAATACAAAATAATTTGAGTAAACGCAGTTTTCAAACAAACTTAAAAAATTTTAAAATGATTGAAAAAGGCATTACATATAAAAATTAATTTTGTTTAAATATATTGCATCTGGTAAAAATCTTAGAACTAAACATTTATACATTTTCACAATGCTGCTGTAACAAAAAAAAAAAATCTTTTTATAAATATTGAAGTAATAAGTAAATCTATATATTATATATAAAAAATTGCGTATAAAATTTACTTTAGTTACATTCCGCCATTCTTATAACATCTATGTCATATTCACAAAAAGGCTGTTTTACATTTAATATACATTATATATATTTTTTCATTTTTCATTTTTCTTAAAAAACGAACTAGTACAATTGCCGAAATTGAAATAAATTAGATAATTTTATCTAAATGCTCGCAAATGGAATCTTAATGGAATGATATGTATGTTTAAGATATGAGATTAATACTCGTTTAGAGGTAAAAATCAAGACTATCAGGTCTTCAAACAGATTTTAATTATTTGTGTAAAATATAATGCAAAATTATCATTATCACGTTCGATCTCCATTACTTTCTCAAATAAAATAGACAATTTAATTAGAACAAAATAATCTTATAAATTAACTTTATAACTCATCGTGCTTTGGACCACTGAATTCTTCATGGGATATCACACCATTTTTATCTTTGTCTTCGTGTTGGAAAATTTCTTCTACCAATTTGTCATGATCCTTTAACATATTGGCAATTTCATCAGAACTTGCTCCTTCGGCTGTTACCATTTGTTTCTTCAAATATTCACTGACCTAAGAAAGAAATAGATATGTATATATATATTGGATAATAAGAAAATATTTAGAATCTTGCGGTTTGTAAATTAAATGTTCTAAAAAAATAATAAATCTACCATCACATCATGGTTAATCACTGATTGACAAAAGGTATGTTGATGTCAATATTGAAAAAAATATATTGAGCCTGAAATGAATATGAATTAATGAAGATATATAATCACATGTATGACTAAGAGAAATTGTAATCATGATGAATTGATGAAATTAAAAATCATATCTATAGGTTTATCCATAACAAAATATTTCCTTTACTATTTCGTACCTCTTCCCTTGTCAACTGGTTGTTTTTATCAGTGTCAATTTCTTTGAAGACATTTGTAGTTGGTGGTGAGTCGCCAATGTTGATCAATTCAACATCGAAATGAAGAGTAGCTCCTCCTGGAATTACGTTACCAGCTCCTCTATCTCCATAACCAAGATTTGGAGGGATGACCAACTTACGGCGTTCACCTTGATGAAAATAATCACATTAATAATGAATTATTTGCTTATATTGCAAAAGCAATTGAATTTCGAATATATATCACTTTTAATTTTTTTATTATATTAATTTCTTACCAACACACATGTTGACTAAACCTTGATCCCATCCTTTAATAACCTGTCCAGAGCCCAATTGGAAAGTGAAAGGCTGGTCTCGGTCAAAACTGAAATTAAAGAGAAAAATATATAATGATTTCATTTTCATTCAATATTTTATTCAAATTTGATAAAAATCCCTATAATTCAGAAGCAAAAATATTTTTTTCCAAAGCATCACTTCTCAGTTAGTTGTTACTTTATACAAATTACAATTGCCAGATTAATTTCTTGTAAATTTATGCTTGTAATTAGTGCCTGCATCATTAAATTTAATGACAATTTGCTTTTGCATAAATCATTTCTCTAATAAACACTTTATGCTTTCATGTAATAATTAATCATGTATATTCAAAGCAATATTACTTATATTATATTGCCTATGCCATATTTAAAAAAATTCAATACCACAAAACTTAAGAGAAACTGAAAATTGAACGAATCTTAACATATTCCTGATCTGCAAAAAACTGAACTACATAAATCTTAATTGTTCTGGAACTTTTTTAAGATATTCTTAATATTTGTTATTTATAAGTTATAATGCGTAGTTTCTATAAATCTTCGAAGTTATTAAAATGGAAACTATTTTTTAGGCAAGACAGATATTACAGCTGTTCAAAGATTGAGATTATATCGCCAGCGAAAAAGTAAAAAAAATACAACCAGTCAATGAATGTATAATATTAATTACATGAAGTTCTTCAAACACAATTACAACTAACGCCTAAACAATATTTGTTTAGGCGTTGTTTAACAAAATCACTGTGAAAGAATATTATAGAATTTATTAATCATCAATTACTTCATTTCTCTAATGAATTACAATGGCAAACCGCTCATGTCATATTTGAAGTAAAACTTTAATTACATTATTATTGTTAAATAATATATATATTTTTAATGCCATTATAAATATATAATTTATAATTTATCAATATATTACTGTGTAGAATAGTTGACAATAATACTTGTGTGCGTCATGAGTGTTACCATATTACTAATAAACATTATTCAAAAATTGTTATTTTATTATTATTTATTTTTAACTTAAATGCCATCTCGTACAATAGCAAAAAAGTTTTACGCGTGTGAACCTTACGCGCACTTTTTTTTTTAAATTTGTTGTTATGTCACTAGAACTTTAAATATATATTGAAATGACACTCAAGTTAATAATTAACTTTAAGTTTTTTTTTGAAAACATCTGGTATTTAGAGACTCAAAGATCTTTTTTATGTATATTTAATTTCACAGTCCGATGAGTCGAATAAAACAGTAATTTTTATACATTTTACAAATTAACTGTTAAATATCGAGCCAATAAATATGAAAAGAATATGCAGTAAACGGTATTCATTGTTATTAGAATGTATTAACAAGTTGTGCCTCAGTAGTATTCAGAAACCGTTTATTAAACCCGTTACAAGAAAGTACGCATTTCATGCATATGAATTTGTTTTCACGATAAAAACAACGTAAACTTATTTTTAACATTTAATCATTCATTTGAAAAAAAAATCGACTAGAAATAACACTTTAAACCTAAAGATTTACAAAAGTGATAAAAAATATTTTTTGTTTAAATTTTAATTAACATTTAAAATAAATTAATCCGCATGATTAAGAAGAATTATTACACCAATTACATTTATCATCTATTTTAAACTTACTTTCAATTATAAATCAAGTAGGAAGAGTTATTTATGAGATTGTATGATATAAATAGTAAGCAATTGTTTATAAGACATTGTGTGAATGTGAAATAATTGTATTATTGTAAACTTTCTAGATTTATCCGCATGCGAAAAGATTACTTTGTTGATATAATTGAATTAAAGTGCTAGACAATTTAATTTACAGAATATTAAAAAATTAATTATCCATCAAAACGTTCTTAAGCAGCTAAACACTGTTGCAAGTATCTGAACACATTCCGATTTATTTAAACATACTCATAAGTACTTAAACGTTTTTTATAAATTCAATATTATATAACAATCAGAGTTATTGACAGAACACAAGTTAAAAGACTAAATTGCATATAAAAAACTAATCACAGAAATAAAGAAAAATGAATTACAAGATTACTTAAACTTATGAATTTTCATGTATCCAAATACATTCCCAAATTTCTAAACACATTCGTAAACATCTTGATACATTGGTCAGTACCTACTTGACCAAAGGATAAAGTACCTCGTAAGTACATAAACACAAACCCAAGTACCGAATCATACACCTATGTACCTTATAGTGAAAATAACTAAACACATTCCTAAGTGCCTAAACACATTCCTAAGTGCCTAAACGCATTCCTAAGTAACTAAACACATTCCTAAGTACCTAAGCACAGTCATAAGTACCTAAGAACATACTCGTACCTATAACTTAAAAATACTCATTTCAGAAAAAAAACTTATCATCATCTCAAACTTTAATGAATTTTTAAAATTAAACTATTTGTCGTAAGGCCGTAATATTTCAGTAAGTTCTATAAGACCATGATATATAGCGTCAAAAAAAGTTAAAAAGTTAAAAAGTTAAGCTTAAATGTGGACGAAAAGTTTAACACTTTTTTCCAAATTACGAGGAAACGGTTCGGCCGATCGTCACACAAATATGACAAACGATAATCCTCATCCGTCGATTTAATCCTCAAACGATAGCCCCAAATTCGATTTATGTTTACGTACACACACACACATACTTTTTCCAAATTTGGTCTCATTCGATTCAGAATGGCTTGAAACGTCGAGAAAACATCAAATTCTCCTTCGGGAAGTTAATAATTTAATAAATTTCTGATTCGGTTTAAGGAAATTTATATTATAGAATATTTAAAATTTTCAAAAACTCTATATAAAAAAAAGTAGTATTACATAGATAAATTTTATCACATAAAATATTCACGTTGACTATTTTTGTTTCTAAACTCTATTTCTAAATACATCTATTTCTGGTAAGATATCTTGAGCAACTTTCTGATCTCATGAATTAATAAAACATAAGATTCTAACTAATTCATACGCATCAGCTAACACGAGCCAATAAATTCATACAAAACCGAAATTTACTATCGACCCAAATCGAACTTTTGGCTTTTTAAGGAAACATTCTTGAGGGTTTTATATCTTGTAACCCTAACTCTCTGAAAATAAAAAAACATCCCTACACCTGGGGGGTTGCTTGCGCCATTCGCACGTCCGCGTTTAAATTCGCAATGAGCAATGTGAACGTAAGTATAAAGTCGACGCTGGTTAAAGGTTCGACACCCCAAAAAGAGGAAGATACATTTAGATGTAGTTTGAATTTGAACACTGAGGGTTTATAGTATAAAAATTACTGCAAATAGTAAAGATCTACGATTTCATTTGCGTAAAATAGGGCACGATCGCGTGAAAAGTGTTCTGTATAACAAATATGTATTTTTCTTCTATAGATCAATATTTGACTGTACCTTTTTTTAAATTGTTGATATGAATCCCGTATGCTCGGTGCATTAAACAAAACGTTAAAGTGAAAGTTGCAAACTTTCCCCGCGCAAAAGCTACGAGCGAAATGACAATAATGTACCTGATAAGGTCATACAAGTCCAAGAATTGGAATCGATCGAATATCGTATAAATACTAATATAGCTACTACATATCACTATTAGAAGTTTGTTTTTTAAATAATAAAAATAATGTGTTTATATATGTGATACGCACTTGGGGCCTTATGATATGCCTTGAGGAACGCCCACTTCGATATTTCGGAAACTAGATTCCTGCGAGTATTTGTTAATATTCAAATTTATGAGAGAGTAAATAATTTATGAGGCTGTAGTATTTTCTATAATTATTATATATAATTTTCAGTTATTGCTTGCAATATAAAATAATTTTATAGTGATGACTATTCATAATTAAAATACGTTTTATCTATCTATTACTATTTTATTATATGCATTGTGTATTTCATTTTAAATCATTTTGATGGACGTGACGTGTAAATATATTAATAAAATGAAATTGCAGGCGATTAAAACTGAAAATAAAAAATACTTTCTACAAATTATTGTTGCAGGAAATTTATATTCTTGAAATGAAATTGTTTATGAAAACAATACGGAAACGAATCAACTGAGATAATAGTTCCATTATCATGCAACTCGGATTGTATGTTGTATTCTAATAATGCGCCGGTGATAATAACAATTATATCGCGATAATTTCGATATCAATGCAATTATCTAATGTGAATAAACGGCGAATCATTTGTTGTAGTTAATCGAGAAATTGGATAATTGATTATTGAAAATCTAAAAAATGTACATATATGATTAATCTCTTATTGAACCAATTCTTAGATTAAATTTGTACAAAATGTATATTGATGAAGTTTAAATATATTCGAGGGACTCTTTCATTTAAATTCACAGTAAATACTAGGTGCACTAAGAAGTAAGTTCGTGTTTCTTTATTGAAATTAGATGTAATACCTAACAAGTCTTGTTGTGTACTTATTTACTGGCTCACTATTTTCTTCATATGGTTGCAAATCTGACTAGGTACTTCCTAATGTGTTCAAGTGTTTACGCATATGTTTAGGTATTTCAGGATGTGTTTAGGAACATACGAATTTGTTTAGATCTATAGGAATGTTTTAAGGTACTACGGAAGATATTTTAGTTCAAACATTTAATATTACAAAAATCTCTCTCAGTAGGTAAAAATGTTACCAAGTATTTCTCAGCCAACATACTTAGTTTGAAGATAACTATGGAAATTGACAAAATCTAGAAGGCAATAGAATAAAGTTGATCATGATATCATAATGCATAAAGACGATCAACTCTTACAGGCCTACTCTTAGTGATCTTAATCAAATAATTATCCAGTTTCGAATTAAAAACCTACAATTATCACTACAATGTTTGTACGAGATAATTTGCGAATAGTTTAGCGTATTCCACCATACACTTGAATCATGTATGCGTTCTGCCTTTCTCTTTGCTTTCTTTGGGATCTTTCTCCATGACATATCTCTCATAATTGCCAACTCATGCACGAAGCCAAAAAAAAAGAACACTGGGTCAGATTTATGCCAGTTCAATGATG